TTTAAATTGAATATATTATTATTTTAATGAATAAGTATAATAAAGCTAATATTATCTATTAATTATTTATTAAATGTAAGAAAGTTATTAGAAGTGTATTAGCATTAGAATTCTACGCTATGGTTTTAGACTTTGATATTAGTGTAGCAATTAAAGGCATAATCGATAAGATTTTCCCAAATTGTAAAATCCTATTGATTATATGTATCGATTCCAAATCATTTTATAACTGTTTTACGAAACTCAAAACTATTAATGAAAAGAAATTAATAATTGATATAATAATAATTTAAAAGGTGTATAAGAAATAAGAGATTATAGAAATCAAATAGATTAATAAAGATTTTAATTTTGTAGATATAATAATTAAATTCAAGTTATATTAAACTCTAAAAGATTTAATTGATAATAATACTATAAAGATTAAGGTTACAAAATAGGTTGAAAGAGATTAAAAGGATGGGTGGTTATATAGGCAAAAGAGGTATTAGTTAGAAGGATATAATCTAGCAACTTTAAAGAGTTATTAATGTTGGGATAGGGATTATATGACTATACTAATATTAATACTAGTGTTTTCTGATACTATAGTAATACATTTTGTAATCCTAGCTTTTAGAACCTTAAGTAATATAATAATAGTATGAACCATAGTATTATATTAACTTCACCATCCCCATGGTAATACCAATAATAACCTTTAAAAAATTATATATATAATAACATTATATAAATTAATAAAAATAATAAATAAATTAATAATGGCTTTTTAAAGCTCTAATCTAATAATTACAAATAATAATCTTAATAATAACAAAATCCTATTAAAATCCTTCTATTACTATACATATAACAATAATAAAAAATTTATAAAAAATTTAATACTTAAAAAAAACCTTTACAAACTAATTAATATTAATAATATTAATAATCATAAAAAGCTTTTATTATATATAATGTTTATATTATATAATAAAATTAATAAGATTTCAATTCATATTATACTTACTTATCTCATGAATAACTCTTTAAAACTCCTTAATATAAGTATTAATAACTTCTAATAGAGCTATAATAATATCTATATAATTTTTAAATATTTATTATTATAAAGATAAATCATATTAAGATTATAAAATAAGTAATATAAACATTTCATATAATATCTATATAACAAATATATAACGGAATAAAAATAAGGAAAATAATCTTTAAACTTTAATCTTCTTCTTAAAAGACATAATAAAAGAATATAAATAATTTTTATTAATAAAAAGGAAAATGTTTAATAATAAAAACGAAAAAAAAAATTAAAAAATATAAATATCATAATTAATATAATATAATAAAATAAAATAAAATTATAGATAAAAAATAAAATAAATTATATTATAAAAGGAAATAATAGAAAAGGAAAAACATAATTACTATAAAACAATAAGAAATAATAATAAGATTATATAAAAAGAAAAGTAATATATAACGATATAATAATAAAAAATTTAAAAAATTCTATAATATCTTGAAAAATATTTGTAATATATATATTATTAACTTGTAAATTGAAAACAAAGTATTATATTGATTATCTTTATAAATATAAATAATTAGATTATATATATAATTAATATAATAGAACTTTATTATAATAAACTTAGATGAATTTTAAAGAGAGATGAGTTTTGTTATTTTCCTCTGTCTACTTTATATAATTAGATATATTTAGATGTATTATATAATTAGTATAGCTTAATTATAGATAGATTAAATCGATTAAGAATTTATTATTACTATTAGCAAACTAATAGACGAGAATTAATTATTAGTTTAAAAAGCTTTAGTAATATAAATCTCATTTTAGTATAAGTTAATATTAAATAAATATAATTCGAATTATTAATATTGTTTAAGAAAGACAGACTGGAATTTTTATATATTTAATTTTTCTTAAGTTTTAAGATTAATATATTTTGAATTAAACTGAAATTCATTATTTAATATATATTTAATTTTGAAATAGATTTAAAGAGATTAGTTTTTATTTATACGTTTTTTTATACTTGCTTATAAAAAGTTATTATTATAAGTATTAATATAGAGTCGATTATTATTTCGATATTAAAGAGTTTTTTTATAAATATATAGTTTTAGGAAAAGAGGTTTTAGAGAATTAGTAAAATGTTTTTGAGTGATTTGATTTAATTCATTTTTATTATAATTTTAGTTTTTATTTTATATGTTAATTTTTATAGTATGAATAGTATGAATAGTATCTTTATTATTATTAGTATGATCTCTAATATGATTCATTACAAATATAAATGTAGCGAAATCGATTGATGTAGTCGGAGTCTGTATTCGAAATCTATAATCGGAGTCTATAGTTCGGGATTCATCATTTATACTTTTCATCCTCAGACAGACGAAAGTAAGAGTGAGATGAAGAAGACTATGAATAAAAACATATAAAATTATAATCTTAATGTTGATCTCATAATTATTATAAGTAGTGATTATGAGTCATAATTATATTTCGATATTTGACTTTTAGTATTTAGACTTTTTATATTATATTATATTAGATTATAACATGTTATATTATGTTATACTAGTTATACTATGCTATGATTATTATATTTGTAATAAATAAATAAATGAATGAGAATATTTTCCTTCTTTTCTCTTTTAATTCATTCCTTGTATCAAATTTAAGTATATTTACATATACTCAGGTACTTATATCTGACTAGGTAGGTAAATATATGATAGCTATATAATGGTAGCTATATGATAGTAGCTATATGATGATAGCTATATGATGGTAGATATATAAGTCGGGTACCCTACTTTCGGGCCACCCTCCTTTTGAATTACTTTTTACACTAAAAATGGAATTTTTAACTCTTTTATTTATGAATAGAATTTATTGAAAATATTTATATATAATTCAAATTGTTTTGAATCTAATCTGAAATTTTTAGATTTTTAGGATTTTTCTGTATTGAAATCTAGAGCTTTAAAATATCGATTTTTAAATTTGTATAGAAATCACATATAAATTTGAAACTTTTATGAAATCTTTAATAACTTTTTAATAAAAATTGCTAAAAATAAACTGAAAAGTTTTATTATAAATTTATAATGTATTTTTTTTTTAAAAAAAACTTCTTATAAATGAATATTTAAAAGAATACTCTTAAAATTATAGGGATTATTTATACTACTTCAAACTTATTATATACTATATCTTTATAAGTTATCTATTAATTTTTTGAATTTTTTTTTTTGAATTTCTATATAGATTTAAACTTAAAACTTTCAAAAAGATATACAATTTTCTTTTAATAATTATTGTTAAAAAGTTATTAAAGATTTTATAAAAGTTTTAAATTTATATATAATTCTTATATAAATTAAAAAATCGTTATTTTGAAGCTTTAGATTTCAATATAGAAAAATTCTAAAAATCTAAAAATTTCAGATTAGATTCAAAACAATCTGAATTATATATACATTAATTTTCAATAAATTCTATTTATAAATAAGAAAATTAAAAATTCCATTTTTTGAGATTTTTGATGGTAAAGAGTGGCCTAAAACAGGAATGGCCCGAAAGTAGGGTACCCGACTTATTTATATAGATAAATAATCATACATCCTCACCTCCATCTTATTGACAAATTCACTTTCAGATTCCATTTTCCATTCCATTCCCACCCATCCACTCCAATCCAACTCCCATCTCAATTCCCACCACCCTTCCCTTTCCATTCCAATCTCACTTCTTATCCCCTCAGAACATCACTGCGTGTCCACATAGCTATCCATCCATCCAATCTATCATCTCTCATCAATATCATTCACTTTCGTCCATCGTATCTTTCTCAAACCTTTCATACACCTAAAATTTCCTTCCTAAACATCAAAATCGAGCTAGCCAACTAACAAATAACTCATCGAATCTTTCTCCAAAGCTATACTAATAATAAACCCAAGTCTCACCCTTAAAAAGTGATGAATAATATTGTTTTCAAATAATCAATACAGGGAGATATAAATCTGCTTTATACACACACACACATACATATACATACACGATACGATACTATATTATACTACATCCCTCACCAAGCATATAAAAGTACCTTATCTAACAAAAGCGAAAAAAGGACCCTCGATCTTAAGATTTGGTATCGATATCGATCTAGAATCTAGATTTTTTCTACTTACCTACCTACCTACCTACCTGCCTATATATCTATACATCTCCTCGCTTAACATCCACTCCCCCTTATAATCTACTATACCCCACCTACTCCATCACACCACACCACAGCACACCATACCCCCCCTACTCCATCACACCACACCGCAGCACACCACACCCCCTCTCCTCTACCAACCTCATAAAATGAAACCAACTCACTAAATCCCCCCTCCCCCCAAAATTCAAAAAAAAACCCAACCACCCATCCACCCACCCACCTACCTACTTACCTACTTACCTCCCTATCTACCTATCTAATAACATAAATCCAATCTAATCCCTTCTCATCAATCACCCATTCATGACCACCCAACCAACAGCCACCCACCTATATAAGAAAATTAAAAATTAAAAATTAAAAATCAGAAAATTGAAAATGGACTATTTCAAATACGTTTAATACAAAATTGCAAAACAGTAATGGAGAGATGGAAAATCATCTACGAATGTATTTTGATGTGATATAATAATCCATTATTTCACAACTGTGGGGGAGAGAATATTGTACAGCAATGTAGAATTCCTAGGTAGGCATGCTATGTTTCTACAAGCGGATATAATCTGGAGGATACATGTCATTCTATCAGATCACATCACATCACATCCCATCCCATCAAATCATCTTCTCAAGTACTATACTATAAATCAACTCTTTAAACTCATGTTATGAAAATCTCACCATCATCTCCTCCTCCACCTTCTCCTTCATCCCCTCCCCCCAGCCTAGCCACCCTCACATTTCAGGACAACCCCCACTCTCCTCCATGGCACCCATAAAATCCTTCATATCAATTCCCGGAGCTCCTGAACCACCATCTTTTGTCGACTTAAAATTATCCAGACACTCCTCGAATTCCTCTAGCGCATCCTCTCTGGTACCCTCGGGATAAAACCCCTTCCACACCTTCCAAAACGAATTTTCAAACATTTCCTCGTCAGCGGCATCTGGATGCTCCGCGTGATATGCCGCAATCGTTTTGTCCAGCGTTTGGATTCGGCGCTCGAATTCTTCTGCTTCCAACTGCGCTTGCGTCTTGACTGGTGGCGGTTCTGTGCGCTCCGCGTATTCCCATTTGCTTTCGTGTCGGCCGTCAGCATACGTGATGCCGGTGTCCGCCTCGGCCAGCGTTTCCAGGTCAGTTTCCATATCCTCGTCGTCCCACTAGTTGAAAATTGAGATGATCAGCCATCGAATCTCAATGTATTTTGTAGCTTCCAAAAAAGCACCCAAGTGATTGGGAAACTCAAGCAGTCGAGAATTAATCTTGAGCAAAGCGAGGGGAGTTCAAAAGACGTTTTACTCACCTCACACAAAGCCTCATACCCCGCATCCCAATCAATAAGTGATCGGCCTTTGGGTAGAGTAATGTCTCTTATGCTTGTTTCTCCACAGGTGAGTTCTTTGGATTCCGTAGTAGTCAGTGGTAAGCGTCGGATGATGCCCTCTGGAGCCCAACTAAAATGAACACTGGGTTAATTTCAGATCTCACAAATTGTATTGTCACTCACGTAAGTAATGATCGAGTAGATGCTAAAACCTGCACTAAATCTTCAAGTTCTTCTTTGGACATCAAACCTAGTCCAACCTTGCTCGCTATTCCATCACCCCGTTTGACATCGGTGTTGAACACGGTAAGGAAGTTCTTCATGTCAACGTCCCAGAAGATCGAATGTAGCCACATTTGATCTAAATAGTCAACATACTTGATGGAGAACAAGTCAATAGCGACACAAAGTCTCAAACCTTTGACGAGTTTCCCCACAAAAGATTCATCCCATGGACCTATTGACTTGAAGGGTGAAAGATCTGTCTTTGGCCAACTGGAGGCATGAAGTTGGATGGAGCCACGATAAGTCGAGATGTCACGATATCTTCCATGAGGCTGGAATCTTACGCACCATTATCATCTGCACCTGATATGGAAGCAATAGAAATTACCTGAAGAGATATGGGACGGCTTCGCAATGAAGAAGATACGCACGCCATTCTTGGGCACTAATTTTCAGCCCACCATGTCGTAGAATGTAATCACGCTGTGCACAAAATTAGCCTTACTCCACTTTCAAATTTGTGATCAACGGCCCAAGACTAGAGGCCATTCTTACCAAAGTATGCTCAGGCATGGCGAAACACATTGTGTGCAGGGCCAACTGTCGACGATTGTCGATTAAATACGCGCTAATCTCGTCGAACCGAGGACATGGCGGTAAATCTTGATCTTTGAATTCAGCAAGCGTGTCAATTCGTGGTTTCATTTTCTGGTTGAGCCTTGGCTCTCGGGAAGTACAAGCCTTTCGCACAATGGCGGCCGGGGCCGTTGTGACCCTCCGTCGTTTGCGAGGGGGCTCTAAAGTATCCAATCTGTCCGACCTTAGGCCAGTATGTTGATTGTTGTTTGGTATACCCTCAAATTCGGTAAATGGATCCCTTAAAATAGGCCATCTCTCACCATTTTTCTTGAGAATAAATTCTTCACCTGTGACCATTTTATATTTCACAGTTTGTGTTCCATATCTGTTGGTCTCAGCTTTTCACCCATAGTAGCAACTTTGGAGGAAAAGTAAATTGGACTCACTTCCGAACAACGGATTCGAATCTGCTTTTGCTTCCCATATCCACTAAAATTTGTCAACATGTCGACGACTTATCAAACGGTTCAGGGGACTGAGCCATAAAATTTCGAGCAGAAAAGACCAATCCCAAAATATGTATGTCATTGTATAGCGATTAACAAATAGCGGTGTTGTACTTACTATACCAGGAAACAGAAATAGGCCAATATGTAACTCTGTAGAAGTCCTATGTGATTCGATGCTAAATCAGCACTGCCAGAATTCATTGTGGTACATTGAATGCGGGAAGAAACAGCTCGAAGGGATGGGATAATTACCGGTGGCTTTTTGAGTAGGACTGGGTTCCCTTCATTACCTTGAGTGGCGGCGGTATTTATATCACTGCTTTGAGTAAGACAAAAGGAATGGTATATTGTTACCTAGTAGTCGTTACTTACCTAAACACAGTTCCCCCCTCTTAATGATGAGTTAGCGTGAGATGATTATGGCCATTGAAAAATACTTTTTTGCTAGGGGCTATATAGACTAATATATAGGATTGCATGAGGACATTAAATATGCTTACCTAAATCGAGCAGCGAATCTTCTAGTGGCTCACGAAGAGCCCGTGTAGTCCCGCCAAATACCTGAATCGAGATCAATATTTGCTGGTATTTCCCCCAGATAGGAATCCACCTACAGTCTGCTCCATCTAGAAGCGAATGATAACACATCAGTATTCTATAGCTATTACCACTCAGCAAAGACTCACCGATAACCCCCTAGAATAATTAATAAAAGCTCAAAGTAGGCAATGGTTTACTTACATTTCCGAAATTACCTCCTGGTGAAAATAGATCTCATCGCCATTATGGCTGGGAAAATAGGCCTTGTAGACCTGCTGAAAAAGGCCATGCTATACCAAGTTAGAGCTAGACGAAGGACTTCCAAATCGGGGCCTTGAGGAAATAGCTTACGCCAAACTCATGTATGATAGTCTTTGCAACTTCTACTTGGACCAAACGTCTTTCTGCAGTGTTCAATTTTTCCACAGTTCCAGGAAGCAAAGCCGCGAGGGGATGGAAACTAATGGTTACAACAGAATCATTGCTTATTTTGCTGGTTAAAGTTTGTCCAGAAATACTTCCTTTTTTGTGATCTACTGCTAGAACACCGCTTGCTGGATCGGTAAAAGAGCTTATTAGACGGAAATATATATTCTTAGAATGTTTCAATATTCCGTTTCGGACGTTCATTCTACCTTTTTCACTTCCATATACTAGAGGATCTCTAGTGTTAAATCGTTTCAAGCCTTCAGATGAACGAATCAATGTAAAGGGGACCTCGGACGGTGGAACGTCAGTCCACTCGGTGGCAAGCAGAGCATCAAACCTATACAGGTAAAATTAATGGCGAACTACATAGAACTGAGGGTATAACTACCATGGCCACAAATCCGCATGCGAGATATACAAGCTTGCTATTCGAATCGATGGAAGTATGGCTTCCCACACAGTGTCGTCTGTACACTGCCATCTTCATCAGAACCGTCAATTGCGCCCGCTATAGGAAGCCTTTGACTTACAGCATTCCAGTAGCCATCCAAGTCTCCTCCCAAAGGAAACTCAGCTATGTTTTTTGGCATCGGGTAATTCCACTTTTTTCTTTGGATTGCAGGATGAATGGTAATGTCAGCATTTGGGTTAACCGCAGTTTCATCTTCATAGATGTGGTAAAGTGGTGCCAAGGCATCTAATCTCTCCAACTCTGCAGCGGTAAAATCTTGCGGCAGAACGTATTAGCGAAGATCTGTAATCTAAAGTGAGAACTGCACACTTCCGTAGCAAAGTCTCTGTAGCCAGCGCACATCATCGGCGAATTTTCTCTCATGATCAGTAGAATGCGGTTTCAAAGTTACTGGCGTGAGGGCGCTCTTCAATGGTATAACGCCTCGAAGTACTGGCTCACGGAGATGGCCGTATATGTTCGCAAGCTCAGTGCGAGGTATTTGCGGTCGCCAACATGGATGAGGAGGCATGTTCAGTAGTAGGGCAACAACCTTTCGTCAGAATTCTTCAATCTAGCTTAATTGCCTTGCCAATGAATATAATCAGAGGTATTCCGTGATAACATTTGCTGTCGCTGGAGAGAGAGAATTGACAACTGTCATTCCAACTAGCACAAAGAAACAAAGAAAGCATGCAACCGATGCTTGAGATAAATATACAACAACAAGGACCAAAGACGAATCCGGCCAATGACTACAAGTGCTTTCCGGGATTGAAAAGCCATTATTTCAGAGTTAAGCTCTCGCCATTCCCCACTTCCAAAAATCTAATATCTCCTACCTTTTCTACATCACCACTCTCGCCATTTTCCTCGGCTTCTCTCTCCAACGCTTCCTTCAGCGTCACGACTTTACGATTTAAGAACCAGCTCACAATTCCTCCACCCACCTTGACCTCATCATGCGTACCAACCCAGTACCTCGCATTCAACAACCTTTGAACCTTCAATCCATTATGTGCCCCTTTATTCAATTGTGCTCGAGGTAGCGAAATATCTTGCAACCCATGCAGTAACGCGAGGGTTCGAATACGCGGTTGAGCATTTCCCACCAGTGTAAGATCCCCAGGGTCGATTCCATGAGGTGTATATATCACAGCTTCAGGTATATTGTCATTTGCGTTTCCATCTGAAGTATTCCTCCCCGAAAATGTCGAGAACGTAATCATGATAGCAGAATGGTAATAGAGCAAATCCACACCCGCTTTGGCAACTCTCGATATACCCACCCAATCTGGTAAATGCTGTGTAGAGGACTCTTTCCAGTCACCACCAAACCTAAGTATTTCTTCCACATGGTCAAAATGTGCCCAGGAAGTTATCGCGGCCGCCGCTTTCGAAGTCGCAAATACCGGAATCGTATTTGAAATTTCGAGTAAAGTTTCCTTGTGCATGTGGTCTGTGAATTCATGGCTCACTACTACTGCATCAATCCAGCTTCCATCGCCCACGATTTCTTTTTTATGCGCAACTTCCTCAATACTCCTGATGAACTCTTCAATCTCTGTGATACTTTGTACTGCGCTGGGATTGGCATGCCATTGTTGACTAAAGAAGGCAGCAACATCACTTTGTCCACCACGTAGCCATGGGTCAATCAATATATGATAATATGCTTTATTGAATGAGTTTTCCGCTGTTTTGGGGTAGGGTATCGAAAGAAGCCATGTGGTGTCTGCATTAAGATGCGTGATGAGGGGTCGAGAAGTATTGAGAGTATCGTGGATAGACTCGTTGGGAGTGGTTTGAAGTAGCGCAGAAATTAAATTGATGGGTTGATCCATTTTCACTGTATTGGAAGATTATTATTGTTATTAGTATGCATGTTTATAAGAAGAGGCAGGTTAGAGTTGAAGTTAGAAGAAGAGTTTCTAGCTAGGTTACATTGTGGTAGTGGCGGGTTCACATGAGGAAGGTAAGGTTACGGGAGTTTCAATGACGTTTGGAATGCTAACGATAGGACTGGCCCGAGCTCACCGGGCTCCCAGGGTTGGATAGGTACTTGCAGATGAGATATCAAAAACATAAAAGCATCTACTTCTAGCAAAGGAAATTCGAATTCAAATTGATTGGATTCTATTAACTTTGTATCTCGGTTTCTAAACTATGGTCATCATAGCTTTACCTTCTCAACCCTTGAACCATTCGATCAAATTATAATTCACACCTCACATCACGAATCACATTCACAACCTCAAAAAACCCAACTATTCTTTCAAAAGATACTGTTTCTGTTTTCACTCTCAATTATTACAAATGATTTACCCAGGGTTCATATCCCCCAATCCATCATCGTCTTCCCCACTTTCTCTCTTCGCTTCTCTCTCAATTCTCTTCTCTACTCCCCTCAAAATCCTCCCCTTTCCTCCTTCACCAAGTCTCGCTTCTCGCTTCTCGAGTCTCAAGTCTCAAAACCCATCCCCCTCCACACACATGCTCTATTCTCAATCCACCTTCAATATCGAAGACCCGCTAGATCTAGCAGTAATCTCCATCCATGAATCAAGCACACGCGTATTTTCTTCTCTCAAAATGAACCCATTATTCGAGACTCACTACCAACTATCACACCACCCAATAAGATATCCCTCTCCCCGTTCTCATCTCATTCCCCGCACCACTAAATTAATAGAGAAGAGAAGGTAAAAAAAAAAAGCGAAACAACAACTTTAAAAAGCTAAAGGTAAGAGAAAAATAAACTATTCGACTACTCTTCACAATCAAACAACACAAATGCTACTCAATTCAACTCCCATAACCCCAAGATATAATCTTATCCACAGCGAAAGCAAAAATATAAACGAGTCAAACATCTCGTCCATCGATGATGAGACTCGCGATCCACAAGTTCAGGTCCAGGTCCAGGTTGAAATCGAGTTGAGCGCGAGAAGATATAACAAGCGAACCATATGATGAAATGCAAGAGAACGCCTGCCCACACTCCACCTCCAACCTCCCGCACCAAGATCCAGCAGGCCCGCCAAGCCGTTCTAGAGAAATGAAAGCAAAGCTTGCTGTCATTCAGACCAAAAGCTGAATCGCAAGTTTCCGGTACTTTCGCTGAAAGCTTATGCATAAATCCAGAATTTAACAAAGTTGTTATCGTGTATATGTCGAAGTGATATCATTTAAAAAGAATTCTTATCTCCAAACGACTTTCACTCTCCACGAGCCTTTCCACGTCTTCGGAAAAAGTCCATGACCTTTCTAGCTGCACCACTACTACCACCATGATCATTGTGTGCATGCTCTTGATCGTAAGCATCGGCAAACTTGCGGTTATTCTTCTGCAGTACACCTCTACCATTATTGCGTCCTGATGGTCGTCGCGAGTCTTCATATGAGTTATTGTTGTCATTCTGATATGGACCACGTCGACTTTGACCAAATGAAGATTCAGAATCAGTTGTCAGTGCTGATTCATCTTGGCGGAAGTTTGCAGGCGGTAAAAATTGTGGTGGGCCACCCATTCTAGCATCTGGATTCTGCTGTTGTGGTTGAGCAAAACGTTGTCTTTCTTGTTGTGCTGGGCTACCGCGGTTTTGATCATATGCCACATCCGCATGCTGATATTCAGCTGTACTTCCACTAACATTTCTGTTATCCTGCGACGCGTCAAGATGATTACCTTGCATTTCGGGATATGGCTCATAGTGACCATCGGTTGGAGTGCTAGCAGGTGGGGTATTTGGGTCTTTACCGATTCCGATAGATTTCAAGGAGAATGATGCCGGGAGAAGAGAAAATCTTCTTGAAGCTTTTTCCTGAGAACCCGTCGTGGATCGCCCAGCTATACTTCCACTTCTCTTTTTGCCAAACCCAAATGATATGGAGCGTCTGGAGTCTATCGACTGTCTCGAGTCATCGGTATTTATGATATTAGCATTTGACATGCTGACTGGAGGATATGACTTCTTTGGTTTTTCCGAAGATTTCTCTGCATGTGATTTACCACCAAAGAGCGAATTTGTTCTGCTAAATATGCCACCGATCGTGTTTGATCTCTTGTGAGTCTTGCTGCCTTCAGATGGTACATTTGCAGTCCCCGCTGGAAGTCCTGCCACTCTAGCGAATTTTGGAGCGATAGGTTGAGAAGTTGATTGAGGAGGGTATTCAAAGGTTTGTTCGCCTTGAATCATAGGAGGGGATATATTGTAACTATTCGAGCTCTTGGGTTGAGGTTGAGACATACGGCCATGAGCATTGGTGCCGGCGACGGTTGGTGCCACAGGTTGGCTGTAAGATCCACGGGTTGGGAAGCCCATAGACCCAGATCTATTAGAAGTCATGGAACCGCCGGTAGTTGGTCTTGCGATTGATGGTTGGCCAGTCACTGGGGTCGTATAGTTAATGTCTGAAGCTGCGCGGTGATCCCGAGTAGGTCGAGGAGGTGGAACCATACCTTGTTGTCGCTGTGAGCTTCCCGTTCGTCTCGCCGAGGCTGCTTGTTGGGCTTCTCTTGTCATTGAAGGATCCTGAGATAATTGCTTCTCTCCGGTAGGGACATTTCTCCTAGAACCTTGAGGAGCTCCAGAAATCTCGACTGGGCCTTGACTACCAGCACGAGCGCGTGTTCTCGAACCAGACTGGGCACTGGACGAGTTGGGAGAAGGCTCACCTCTCTGTGTTTGTGATCTTGGAGCCACATATTCGACCTGCACGGTTCGTCTCTTGTTGTCCTTTGAAGTTTTAGGAGGTGCCTCTTCTCCATCTTGATCCACATGCCCATGTTTTCTGCTAAGATCCCCAACGGCTGCGGGTACCTTTTGTGATTTGGGTTCCCGAACTGAAGCACTTCTAGCGAGTGGAGGAGCTTCTTGGGGTTCCTCAGATGGCACAGTAGTATTGGCAATCTCCACGGTAGTAGTTGTGCTGCTAGTAATGAAGCCAACGACATGCGCATATTCGCTCAACCAACTGTGTCGAGCAACTTCAAATAAATCTGCACGTTTGCGTGGGTCTGGAACAAGAATACGACGGAGAAGGTCGCGAGCGTGCGGTGTAACATATTCTGGAAAGGTAAGTGGTGTCGAAACTATATATTTGTAGAGAAGGTTAATGTTATCGCCCTCGGGATTGGCTGGATCATCATCGAAAGGTAGATATCCTGCAAGCATTGCATACTGACTTCATGTTAGTGGTGCAACTATCAATAAGTGCAAAACATCAAGACTTACCAAAATTACTCCGCAACTCCATACATCGACCTTGCGACCAGTGTATAGCGAATCGCTCACAACCAATTCTGGAGCTGCATAGCACGGACTGCCACAACTTGTCTGCATCAGATCTCCTCTTCGCGAGCCACCAGGTAAAATCTTATCCAACTCCATACGCTTGACATAGTCACGACTAGCTAAGTTGTACTCGATTTCGTCTCCAAGCTCATCGTCTGGGTTAAAGGTGTTTGCAAAACCAAAATCCGTAATGATGATGTTGCGGTTGCGATCCAGTAGAAGATTCTCAAGCTTC